GAGTGAGTGAGTGAGTGAGTGAGTGAGTGAGTGAGTGAGTGAGTGAGTGAGTGAGTGAGTGAGTGAGTGAGTGAGTGAGTGGGTGAGTGAGTGAGTGAGTGAGTGACTGAGTGAGTGAGTGAGTGACTGAGTGACTGAGTGACTGAGTGACTGAGTGAGTGAGTGAGTGAGTGAGTGGGTGAGATAATGCATCAATAAATGACAAAAACACATGATTAACTAAACAAGAAAATGAGTCAATGAATAAGTCAATGAATAAGTCAGTGAATGAATGAATGAATGAATGAATGAATGAATGAATGAATGAATGAATGAATGAATGAATGCATGAATGAGTGAGTGAGTGAGTGAATGAATCAATGAATGAATGAATGCATGAATGAATGAATGAATGAATGAATGCATGAATGAATGAATGAATGAATGAAATAATGAAATAATATGATCTAACATGAAATGACACAACATGAAATTACATGAAATGACGTGACATGAAATGGAATGAATGACTGCATAAAGGATTGAACAAATGAATGATTGAATGAGTGAGTGAGCGAGTATGCGAATGAATTCGTCAATGAAAGAGACCAATAAAGAAATAGTTAATAAGTGAGTGAGTCAGAGAAGGAGTGAATCAACAAATGAAACAAAAACAAATGCAGTGTCGACATGGAACTCCGAAGGTATCATGGAACCCCAAACCTGGTCACTTTCAGTGGAGGCCGCCTTCTGCTTCTGCGGGGCGGTGGGGGGGGGGGGGCTCTTGGGGGCCCTGATTTTTCTCTGGCCGGAGCCCTCTTTTTCTGCAGGAAGCTGTTAACCCCCCCCCCCCCGGTACAGGAAACCAAACAAACATATTTTTGGAACTTCCCACACTTTGAGACATGCCTGGGAAATGTGGCAGAAGGGTGAACCAAATTGGAAACGCCTTTAAGGGGCCGTTTTCTTGACCCTTGAAAAACTAATCTTGACTAGGTGACGGCTAACTCACACCTTTAAGTGGGCTATATGCAAAGCCAAATCCAACAAATTGGTATAACCCGCCAGTTCGTGGTGGACATGAACACATACGTAATCATACCTGGAAAGCCGTATGGCCGTTTTTTTTGGACGGAACCCGTATTTGGATCATTTTTCCCGTGTAGTCATTTTTTGCTGGCCGGTGGCCGTATTTGGCCGTATGCAACCCGTATTGTTTCAACAAATTGTTGACAAAAAGCTGTAAATAACCGTATGGTCATTTGTTTGTGGCCCCAAGCCGTATGGACAGAAAAAAACGTCACATATGGGTTTCCAGGTAGCAAAGCAGCAAAGGAACCCGGAGGCTGGCCTTGAGCTCGGTATCTGTGTGTTTTGACACATGTGTAAGATAGGTTCATGCCATCAGGCTGGCGGATCTTTGAACATTGATGATAGTGCTATGTAATTTTCCCGTCAAGCAAACCCTGCCTCTCTCCTCCTCCCCCACAAGAAACAAGAAAATAAAAAGAAGAGGGATAAGGACGCCCCAGGCACTCGCCGTCAATTGCCCAATATTTGCCCGACATTGCCCATCCAGCCTCCTCATCCGTGCCAGCTGGAAATAGCCTGGTTTCTGCCTGGGCACAGTGGATCTGATGTTTCCCTTCAGCAAGGTTCGGCGAAATCCCTGGCAGAAAGGTAGACGAGTAGCTGGTATAGGGAAACCAAAGAAACCGTTTGCCAACTTTCTTTATCTTGTGGCTGGGTAGTTCAAGGCTGAGAGCAACCTAGGGCTCCGGAGTATGCAAGCGGAGACCTTAACCTACATCAGAGTGTTAGTCACCCTAAAATATGGGAGAATAGTTTTGGAGGAGACCGCTGTGGAGTTGCGGAGACGATCTGAGAGTCCGGCACCAAGTTCACTGTGGAAGTATCTGGTGACAAACTTGCGCGCCTGGCCAAGACAAAGTCAACTGCGGCAGTCAAACAGATCCGGTAACTGGCAAAAACACACGGTCAGGGAAACCAGTCAAGAACGTATGTGGATAGCAGCTCTTGCTTAACTTTGACAAGGGCTGTGGGAGGAGGGACGGAAGTCGCACCAACTCCGAGAAAAGTGCCTTCCCACAAAACCCGTTCTTCAACTCAAATAGGCAAAACCGATCCCAGAAGGTATCACAGTGGCTGAAGAAACTGGAACGCCCAACATCTTGTTTGTACCTAATGTACATACTTTGATTCGAACACTAAGGATTGAAGCCCCTCATCTCAGCACAGCCCTGACTTTGCGGCCCTTTTGGACCCGCGCCAAAGGCGGCAGGCGTCACCGAAACCGGTCCTAGAGGCCGCAGCCTATGACCTGACAAGTTGCAAACTTGAAATGGGCTTCCTGCAAAAGAGATAAACGGATCAAAGTGTAGGATGCCCTCTTGGAGACCAACTAAATAACTAACAGTAACTAACATCGAAGTGCACAGCCCATTTGCCCGAAAGCAATGTACAGTACTCGTGCGAAAAGATCTGTGCACTCCCACGGCAAAAGGATCAAACGGTGAACCCTGCAACTTCCCACCTCTGCCTGCTTCTTGGCAGAAACATTCATGGCATTGTCGGACCTCAGCGCTTGAGAGCTTAGTCTCAAAGCGGCCTCTACGCGCGTTTGCTTACCTTTCGTGGTTTGACATGATCCATGTTGGAATCTCGCGACTTTCCAAACTAATGGAACACCATAGGGAAAAGTTTAGTAAATATTTGCTTAGGGGAACCACTTTGAGTTCTCTCTTCCAACAATCATGGAAGTGCACGATCTCAGGGCTTTGGAAGACTACCATCCGCTTGAACTGCCTGCGGCCCACTTCATGATTGTTGAGGACAGCATCCCACCATGCGTAGTGCTTTATGTGCTTTTTGTGGCCACCCTAGGGTGGTTTGAAGGGCCAACTTGGTCAAAGCCCCCTCTTGAGGTCGAGGGGGGACAAAGGCGCACACCTCTGCGCGACCTTCAGAGTGCTTGCGTTTGCTGAAAACAACCTGACATTAGGGTATGTGTCCAAAATTTGGCGGTTTTCCTGTGGGTGTCCGTTTCAAGCCGGGTGAAAAGAGCACCTTCAAAAAACACACACACCCACACACACGTCCATCTTTACCGGTGGTGACCATCTCTCTGAAAAAAAACACAGGTGAGGGAAAACACCAAGTCACCAAAATGGGGGTGGAAGATACTGGTCTCATCCACAGTCCGAGTGGCCCGTGGATCGCGCCGAAGGTCACGGGCAGGCCTTGGGCCTTGAGCGCCTGACGTTTGGCCAAAGCAACGCACCCGTGCTTGGCCAGACTTAGGCCCTCTGCAGCTGCAGAAAGTTCACTTGGAACTTAAGAGGGGGATTTTTATTTATTTATTTATCTTTTTTGGGCCTTTAAGGGCAAAAAGCTGAGTTGAGTCCGGTGGTGCTAGGAGGGAGATACTAGTACCAAGCAAGTAAAGTAAGGGTCTATGAGCCTCCCTGGTGGGATACCAAAAGTCTGCAGCGACAGTCCATTTACTATCATCTGCTCTACTGGGTACACTCGCCGAATTTCCCTTAGGTAAACACGAGTTACTCACCAACTTCCGGTGTCAAAGGGGGACTGACCATCAACAATTGACACTGTTGGGAGGGTACGTCAACTGGGTGACCTCCTTTTGGTCGAAACAGGCTTGTGGGAATGAGACTTGATGTGCCAATCTCTGTGATACCTTTTGAACCTTTCAAGACCTCCCTCAACATGAATTCGTCGTTCAGGCCTTTAAGTTCTACAGTTGTGGATATCATTCCCACAACTGGCCCTCTTCCCCAAGATCGGCCTTTTAGATGATGGCTCAGGAAAACGTGCGCAAAGACAAGGCATGAACACATACGCAGCAATGAGCAGTTTTCCGATTTTTCCTAGGCCTCCTTAGCTTCCCAACGCCTTGTTGGAAAGGTTCCTGAAAGGAGGGTTCCTGTGCACTTCCATGTTTGCTGGTTGGAGGCTTACGCCCACAATCCAGCTGTTGGATGGTTGCGAAGGCAAAGCAAGGTGCAATGGAAATACTCTGTTTAGGATCCCAACCTTGGCTAAGGCTGTGTAATTTATATAGGGTCTTTCTAGAAAACATGGAGTGGACCGGGGCTTGCGCGGGTGGGGGTTGGCTTGAGGCTTGGCACCGCATGAAAGTAAGATGTTTTGTTGGGGCCTGGCCCACAAACACTTAAGTAGTGCCCAAAACAGATTGACTGATGGTTCTACTAACATGGACGACATGGACATACAGGTTTATATAAGCCTTGCCCCTTTAGCCCACTCTTAAACTAGGCAGCAGAACCATTTACTGACATGGCCAATAGGAACTTCAGCGCTCTCACTTGGTCTGTCATCCAAGTATCTGACGCATTTGTCGTTTTACGAATTTCTTTGTGGGGACAGCCTTTATGGGATTCCACAAGTGGAAGCTTGCCCAATTTGACACGTGAGTCACAATCAAAACATGGCCACAAAGGTCTACCCCAATCCATGTGGGCTTGTCTGTGGCTTTAAAAGGAACCAAAGGGAAACCCACCATTTTTGTGGGTCCCCTAAAAACAACAAATCCATGTTTAGCATCAGGGCAGACATCCGTGCTCAACTCACCCGCCAAGTTTATATATTCAGAAAGCGCCCAAAACTGCCCCGGCCGTCAGCGTCTTATATCCCAGCTCGTCGAACGCCGGCTCCTGGCGTTTGATGGGATCACTTCCGCACGAAGTACTGCCCAAAGCTTCTGGAAGTCAAGACCTGTTGCTTCACTTGTCAGGGCTTGAACAGATTACACTTTCAATGTGGCTCCAGACACCACCAACAACAAACAAAAGCTCAGGTTGAAAGTTTGGTTTTGGACAAGATGAGCTCCCAAGCCGCGAACCAAACTTTTCACTGTGACGCGCGGCCTTTTTTGGGGGAATGGAGGGCCCAAAACAACGGGGAAAGCTGACGGCATACTCCTTGTCTATGGTGAGGGCTATGGCCTGGCCAAAGTATCACTAAAACATGTTTAGTCTAAACACACCGGCAGTCTGAGTCTGTCACAGCACAGTCATGAGCAGAGCCTTGTTGCAAACAATACACCCAACACCGTGTACGAAGTTACGCGAATGGCCGACTCAATGTATGGTTGGGAATGAGCATACACCACTATGAGAGAAGATTGCCCTTGTGGGTCGCGCAACAAACCTTCGCACCCTTTCCCCTTAGAACACTTCAACTGAAGGGAGCTATCTTGATTTTCGTCGAAGATGGTCCTGACCAAACGAGTGCTGAAGTTATCGTTTTGCTCATAGATTCACCACACCCATTTGTGTGTGCCCGAGCATCTAATCTGGGAAGGGTCCCCTTACAACATGCAGGGTTCACTTGCAAGGGTCCACTGTAGCGACCCATGACCTTTGGATCTTTGCGTGGCCCAACTCCTGTGTACACCAAACATGACATGTTCAAATGCTTCATATATGTTGCTTAGCTGAAATAAATAATATCGGCGGCCCGCAGCTGTATGTTGGCTGTCCTCCAAGCTAGCCGTGGGTCCCAGAACGCAAAGCACCACGTCTGCACACTTCGCCGCATCCAGGACCTGAGACATAAGCAGTCTCCAGTCCCTTAAAATGCACCCGTTGTGTCGGGGGTTAACAAGAAAGCAAAAGGGAAACAATAATTTTGAGGGAGTCGTTGGCTGGGTCGCTTAAAGTGTACCCATTTTGGGGTGGTGATGGAAAAAAGCCATGCAACGCAACAGTTGGTAGGGTGTTTATGCATAGGGTGTCATAGGCTTCCTTTTTCCCGGGTGCAAACAAAATATGACGCCGAAAACCCCTCCAAAAAAAACACAAAATCATAGGGATTCGTCCAACTGGTGCAGGATTTTGTGCGTCCACTGTAGATCCATGGTCCATTAAACTTTCCCATGTTGGGGTGGTGTACAAAAAACAAAAAGGAAACCACCCCACTTCGAGGTTGCCAACTGGGATTTATGGCTGAGTTCCTTCAAGCGGTGATTTCTACATACCGATTCGTGCAAGCAGGGCTACAAAACCCTGAGTTAACCCCTTGCCTACAATAAAGCCAATACAATGTATCCACACATATGTACATAAATAGAATCCTCAAATCCCTTGAGTGAAAAGAACCACGAATGTAGAAAAGCCCAAATCACGACCAAAGGCGCTGACTCTGAGGTGGCGACTCCAAAGACCGTGCGAGGAGGATCGATCAGAATTACCTCGCAGACCGAGCGGCGAGCAGGGGCTCGTGGATGGACAAAGTCCGCTTCGCGCCAATTTGTCGGGGGTTTATGAACCAGCATTCGTAGGGTTTCATCCATTCCAAGTGGTGTGGGACTTTGTCCCCCCGCAACATGCTCCCCCTGAAACAGAGACTCAATCGACATTGGCCCGACAAATGACGTCTTAAGCGAAAGGGACACGTTGAAAGCCCCTGTGCAAAAAAAGGCCTGGCTTGGGGGCTTGGGCCTTGGCGTCACTCTGTGCCGCGGCAAGGCAACCCTGGCTTCTCTAAGCTCCGTCTTTCAACCGTGGCTTTTCAGACCCAGAAAACAATGAGTGATGGCTGAAACTAGGGGGTGGCATCTGACAACATATTCAATCAAGGGTGCGTACCAACCCCTGCAGCCGCTTACAAAGCCTTTTGTGGGTCAGTGGCGGTCAGGGAAACTTCTCAGGGCATCATCATAAGGAAGCATTGCCTGAACTCCAACCAGGCTCTGGCACAAGGCTAGACAAGTCCCCCCAAGAAAAAGACACAACAGGAAACACTTCCAATATTCAGCCTTGTGGTTTGGACATCATAAGGTTCAAAAAAAACACGTTTTTGTCCATATCGGCCTTTAAGCTTCCCTTTCAACACATTAATCCAAAGGGCGAAATACCAAACACCCTGGGATCTCCCGTAGAATTTCCTGTACGTTTCTAGGATTGTAGCTCTAGTCAAACCGTTGCCAGAGCGCGCCTGTCCTATTGCAGTACTCACCAGGCTCACATCGTGTCAGGATTGCATGAACCTGACCGAACATAGAGATATTAAGTCCACTGTTCTCCGTCGACTTCATCACGGGAATGTTGCCCAACACCTTGCAGAACCATCAAGCGGCACAACTACGTGCAGCCAACCAGGCCAGTTCGGCCGCGACACGCGCATTGCTGTTACTAAAGACCTTGCAGCCTTGCAGTGGCTGTATATTGGGCATCCAACCTGCTTCCTGGATCATGTAATCACTTCTTCCTATTCATCAACCTACCCCTAATAATTAATAAGGCTCCCCTCAGCGCGCCAAGATCGCAAATACTAATTTTAAATTAGCCAAACGTTTAAACTGAACCAATACTAAACTCCTGAGACCACGCGTGTTTTGCACCAAGCTGTCAAAATGTGCTTATTAGAGCCCCCCCCGTAATGTGTTCAAACAAGAAGGTTCCAAGCTATGTGTCCAACAGAAACAAGCCCCTTTCCTTTGCAATTCTAAGATGCTACTCCGAAGTTTGCATCCTAAGCATGTTTCTTTTAAACCAAAGGGTTGCCTTGTGCGACAGTGTTTTATTGTTACGGTTTGTATTAAACAACGAAGAGCTTGTGGGCTGTCCTCATCAAACAACAACTCCCAAACAAGCTTAGTTATTAGAGTCCGCGCGCCAACCCCAAATATTCAAAGAAGTTCACACCGGGAATGGCCCTTTCAGAGTCCTTACATAAAGTTGCAATCTGAGCGTTTTCTCCTGCAAATCAAAGGGGGGCGACCCCTACACATCAAACTGCCTCCGAGTTTTGCTTTTTATTTGTGGGGTTTTTTAGGGGGAAGGGCTTCTTGCTAAACACCCAATCGGTTTCTGCACTCGGAAGAAGCTGAACTTGGGGGGGTGGCTGATGCAGTTCAATACGCACCTGCGCCCTGCATAACCACAAACTGGTGTTGTGTGTGTGTGTTTTGTGTGTGTGTGTGTGTTTGTTTTCTGGAGGGTACAGTACAGTTCCCTTTTCTGAGGCTGGCTAGGGAAACCAAAGGAGCCCACCATTTTCTACCATTTTCTGGTATTTTGGGGCTCCACATCGTTGTGCCGCCCAAATGAAACCCGTGAGATCTGCGTTCGCCACTCAGAGCCAGGCCCTTGGCTTGCCCATGCCCGGGCCCTGGGTCGAACAAAAGGTCAGGAAAGGGACAGCAGAAAGGCTATGCCATTCAAGCCATTGTCAAACATAACCTCACTTCCTGCGTTGATTGGCCAACCAAAAGACTTCTTGTTTACCACCAACATGGTCTTCCCAAAAAGCATAAAGTCCATGAATTCAGGGAGTAACTCACCCAGATGGTACATGACGCCCCAATTTGGCGTCAGGGCCACTGGCTCACACCCTCGGAGTGTTTTTCCGTGTTGGGACCCGATCCTTCGCTTTTTACCCGAGCCGAAATAGGGCAGCAACCCAACAAATTGCAGCACGATGGAGCGAAGGTGTTCAACCAAGGCATTCACAAAGCTCGTTGACCTGGAAGACATTGCAATCTCTACGCTGGAAATCGAAGGGGATATCCCTGGGATTCCCAGACGGCCTTAGCAAAAAAATGAGCGCGCCTGTTTTAGTCGGCTTAGTCGTGATGCTACAAGTTCGACTTTTACACAGGGATACCGTTGATGGACGAAATCCTGCACCAGTTGGAATTAAAATCATATTAGTGCGCACGCTGGTCATATTTGACGAGGGCGTATTGGTGCTTCGACGACGAGTGAGACAATTTGTTGCGGTTCGTTGTTTTTGCTCAAGGAAGCATGTCAGAATGTCACTAGGACATGTACAGGCAAGGCACGGTTGGCCCTTGGCTCGATTCTATACATACTCTTAATTACAGCTGAAAGCGCATCCATGGTATGACGTTGCAGATCTGTGGGCAGTGACAAACGGCTTTTGGCGGCGGGAGATTGCTGAGGAGTTCCTTGGCACGTGGCTTTCAGTTGGGGTGATTGAGCGCAGCCCTCCAAGCGTGATGCCGCGCTTGACTGCGGCACAATGAGCGGTGGAGGAGAATGGATGACTTTGTGAGAAAGTCTCTACATGTGAAAGTGGTCCATTGCGTTCCTGAAACCATGTACAGAAATATGTGGGTATGGCTGGGCCGCCACAACTCCAAAGATCGACATACTCAGGCGTTGCAAGCAATGCTCAAGGCAGGCTTGAGCCTCTATTAAACGAAAATCGCATGTTGGCAATTGTAGGCGTGGCTGTGCTGGCCAGATCACGGCATGCGTGCTCAAAGCCATCGAGAAACAGAGGCGGTGTGGGGGCGCTGGCGGTGGTTGTGGCTTTGGAGCGCAGAGGCAGGCTGGACGGGGAACGTGTTTCGGGAGACGTGGGCGTGTGTGCTTTTCACCCCCCCCCCCCCCAAAAAAAAACACAACCCCCCCACAAGAAATTATGGGTGGGATGCAAATAACGCCTCGTCAAATAGGACCGGCAAGCCTATTAGTAGTGGGATAAGGTGCAAGATTTCGTCCACCCACAGTATGTCATGAATCCAGCTCTAAACGCAAAGGAAACCGCCAAGAGATGAGTCTCCATTGGTTGCGCCCCCGCAAGCGAGGTGATCTTTGCTACAGTACTTCCTCTGTTCGGCAAAGAGCGGAGATCTGCCCCGAGCTTTGGAAGTGTCCCCTTTCAAATCCTGGGACCACGGCGATCTCAAATGTAATGTTTTGATAGCCAGACTATTCAGTATCCCACCCAAAAAGTTAGCACCCTGGAGAGGTATTCGGGACAGGGGATAACGGCCGGAAGGGGTTGCTTTGAGTAGGCATGAACTTGAAGCAGATGCTCTGATGGACATAAAGCATAGGGTTCTAAGGGTGCTCTCTATCAAAACGTGTAGCCTGTATTGGGATACAGTTGGGTACAAGTAGTTGGCACAATGCTTCCTTTATGTTGGTTTAATCATTCCCCTTACCCATATAAAGGGATATTTGTGTCATCTACCTGGAATCTACCTGCACCCTGTTGCACCCACGTTGGGTTCTTTCAAAAGGGAAACCAAAGGAAAACATACTGCTTTCTGCTTGCAGGGTTTGGGTAAGGGGGGAGGGTAGCTTTTTTGAACATCCAGAGACCTTGTTGCGTGGAATTTGGAGCCCTGTTCTCCCAAAGGCCTGCGCCCAGTTCGGCAAGCTGGCAACTGCCGGGCAATGGGGCGGCCTCAAAATGGGAGTCGGAACCGGCGAAGCGAGCGAGCCACCGGCAGGGTCGGTCTGGGGGAACCCCTGTAGAAGTGGTTTCCCTTTGCATTCCCTTTCAAAGCAACCCAGGGTTTCCTCAAACACAAACACCCTCATGTGGGTGCGCTGCAAATTGGCATGGAACCCAAAAAGGGGGTTCGGTTCCTCCGGACGTTTTGCGTTTGGTTTTGCTGCGTTGACATGTTGGTCTGCAGGGGTTGGATAAACAGGCATGGCTGTGACAGGAAAGTTTCTACGGGGGTTGTAGGTTGTTTTCCGTTGCTGAGAATCACCCTTGTTCTACCAAAGAGTGCCATCCCCATGACTACTTCTTCACTTGAAAAGGGATTCGATTGCAAACATGCCTGCCACGTCCTGATGTCTCTGTGATACGACCATGGCGTCTATTGCGCCCAATGGATGTGACACTTGCGCGTCAAACGAGTAGGCGGAGGTCAGCAAACACCAAACGCGAAAACACAACCAAAACAAAGCAGCCCCCCGAAGGACGCAAAATCGATCTCAAATCCTGGTTGTCCACAACCGTGTGTATGCATGTCAACATTGCGCCTCGAGAAGTCTAGTAGCGGCAAATCACATCGCGCTAGTCTACTATTCCACGAATACTAAACCTTTGGTGGACATCATTTACATGGGCTATGCACGCACCAACCTATGCTGGACTCCTATATTTACCTGGCTCGACGCTCGTTGGATCTAGGGACCCTAGAAACCAAGGGCTTAATCAGCTGCCAAATGCGACCAAATAAAGCTTCAAACATTTGGGACCCTCGCGGGCGCTCGTGCAAAGATCCCCGGTTGGGTGCCCACGCAGCTTCGCAGCCTCCTCCCCTTTGCCGCACAGCGACAGGATCTTCCTAGCCCGAAGCACCAACGACGAACCCGCGGCGCGCAGAGCTGTTGGCCGCGCTTGGGGTTGAGCATGGGTGTACCATTTTTCGCGGGCGTTTTTGGCGCTGGTTGAAAGGGGAATTAGAAGGGAAACGACCTGGTTCCCTGATTCTGAGACCGACCGTTTCTCTTCGCAGGGCAGGTGCGCCAGCACCAGAAGGAGGCACCCCTGTCAAGTTGAGGCTCAATTCACAATCAAAACGCTGCTGATGGAGTCAGCAAGACTAACCGGACTGCTGAGTGGAGTCAGAACAACGTTTAGCTGTCTTAGCCAGGGTTCACGCCCCTTACCCAAAAGACAAGCAAGCCGGATTCCTTTTAGGGGGCCTCTATTAAAAAATGGTTTGCCTTTGCCCCCTTTTGTTGGCTGAAAATAGAAGAGCCCTTGCTGGTGGTGCCGGGAATCTACACCAACAAAGAGGGTCTCTCGATTTGTCCCCATGAAAGGCAATGGTCAAACCCTCGGCAGACACCTGAGCTAATGTCGAAATGAAAGTGCTCCCCCAAATTGGAGAGCAAACAGCAAACCATCAATTCATTGAAAAGCTCGGTCAACATCCGGTCAGGCTCTCCTGCAACTATCAGACGAACGAAAAGAAAGTCGGGGTGGCTGGTTTCCCCAAAAGGAAACCTCTGCGTTTTTATATCCGGTCAGGCACCAAGCACCCCGCGCACCCGGCACCCCTGCGCCTCTTCAAAGAGAGGGGGTCAGCTTGAGTGTGGAAGCCGACGAGGCATACGACCTGAGAAACCGTGTTAGCCAGCGACGGACACGTTCATGGATTTGTTGTTCTCCCAAAATGTGATGCTAAGCAGCTCGGCTGTTTGCCGACATCTCTCCCCCAAAAAAGTTCAGGACCTTGGGGACTGAGCTGTATACAGATACACCCTTCTATGGGTTGAACAAATGGTCCCTTAAAATAGTTGGATTATTTTTGCTTTCCCTGAAATACCAAAAGGGGGTCCACCATTTGAGGAACACGCCACGGAAACTCGAACATCTCTCTCCCAACCACGCCTTCGGGGGCAAAGCCCTGTCCTCCTCGGAGCCGAAGCGCTTCTTCTGCCAGATCTCCTCCGAAGAGTTTTTGCATGGTCAGACAAAAACTCAAGAATCGATCCCCCTTTCTTTGAAACACTTCGAAGCAAAAGAAAAACTACCCCAATGGCTGAACCCGGTACTGCATTTTCCAGCCTTCTGTTTGGGATGTGTCGCTTTGTTGGCTGGGAAACCAAAAGGAAAACATTTTGCCTTGAAGTCTCTGCTTGGATTGTGAGGGAGTACTCCATTTAGGTATCTCCCATGCCGATGTTCTCCGCCCTTCCAAGGAAAACTAAGAGGCAACCAGTGTCCTCCCTACTTGGGTGTGTGTCGCTTCATCATGGTTATGAGCGGTTGACAACAGGGGGCGGTTGACTTGTATATATTTTGACTACCTCTCCCTCTCTATGTCCCTACATCTCCCATAAGTTTGCTGAGACTGAAACATGCCAAACAAAGTTGACAAACCACCCTCACAAGATGACTCTAAGCTGCATATAAACCTGTGGGATCCAATTTGGTACTTGATGTCCCCTAAACAAGCCATAGTTCATGAGAAGCGAATAAACTGCGGGCCACACCAGGGACTCTTGTATGGGGGTGTCACCCATAATTTATCCACCCAGTTTGCGCGGGGTTTTCCAGGGAAGCCGACAAAAGCTCCCATGTTTGCAGGCCCGGGTCAAATATCGGTTTCCCATAGTGCACGTTGGAACACAGTGAGCGGCCCAGTTTTTGTGGAAAGTCAGGCAGTCCCACAAGTCCCGAAACCGTAGCTTAACCACAAATCTCACGGGGTAACTTCCCCATTCTTCAGGCGCAGGAAAAAAAGAAGCAGCCTGTTGTTTTTCTTTGTTTTTTTTAATATATATTTTTTTACAAGGAATGATGGTGGAACAAATAGGTACCACCCCCCCTTCACCAATTCACCCGCCTCCTTCTTTGCATCACGCAGCTGCTTGAGCGTGTTCAAGCGGTCCTGAAGACGTTCGAAGCCTTGCTCTTAAAGGGGGTCTCATGTGTGCAGTTGGCCCTGGGAGTGCAATTTAATAGTGTATTTTACAATTCAAGCATTGCAATCATATGGTGCATTTCCTTTTTTAGAAACCACCCAAGTGAACATACCAGTGAACCGATTCCGGCAAATCTGCAAAGGGCTCCCTTAAACATCACCCTAAAGGAAACTCATTGAAACCTTGGTCCAACAAGTAAAGCTTTCATTTGGCGCAAAAGGGAAGTATAGCCCCTGCAAAAGTCCACATCTCCCCTACCTCAATGTCTACCTCATCCTACCTCAATGAGAAGGGGTCGTCCAATCTCATTTTCAAGTCTTCCCCACACAACGGAAAACTGGAAGCATAAATGAAATTCAATTGGGTCGAAATCGCTCGCCCCCAGTTCCATGTTCAAGGGACCCAGCGGTTGGGCTACCCCTTTGTTTATGTATTTTAAAACACCAATTGTTTGAACAACCTCCTTTGGCCTTCCATTTGAAGGGGTCCAGCCTCTGCATTTTAGAAACAACAATTGCCCAACCCTGCTTACCCCCCTGCCTTAATTCCATTCTTAAAAGCGGCCTTTCCAAAATATGATGTGTTGAAGAAGACCATAATAACGTCAAAGAGAACCAACGACTGTTTTGGGTGGCATAGTCTTCAAATTAGGCTGCCCCCAAACTGCTTGGTTTCCTCTTGAAGTCCCTGTTGACCAACCCCAAAACGGGTACCCTAAGACACGACATACCCATATGTATAGTCAGGAACTTCCAAGGGGGCTGTAAGCAAGGGCGGCTAGTACTGGATAGGCTATCCTTGGCCCTCCGTAAGACTTTGTTATGGGGTTTTTAATTAGGGGGATCCCCCCCTCCCTATACCAAGCCTTCTCTGGAGGTCCGTGACATAATTTGAGGAAGCACACGGATCATTCCCTCATCCCCTCAGAAGCAGCAATACAAGTCCTGCTTGCTGATGGCAGCAGTGTTCACCTTCTTGACCGAGCTTCTTTCCACACGGCCCTGACATGTTCCGAGTCTGTTCCGTCCAACAGAAACCAAACACCCGAGGCCGGCGGTCGGCGTCCGTTTGCGGCCTCGATTTGGGACAAGCTTGGCATTCTCCCAGCATTATCAACGGAAGGAATACAGAAGGTGGGTACTCAAACGGATCCTCAAACGGTGATAGGTTGATAGATTCGGAGTACCTGCAGGAACATCCAAACATTATTTTCAAGAAGGTGGCCTAAACCAAAGCCCCTTGCTCCACGGCTCCACGCAGGCCAGAGTTAACTGTCCGTAGTTTGCCGGAACCGAACGAACTCGGCCGCTGGGTGCCCGAATCCGCATGGCCGCTGCATATTGAGACGTTGTCCGGGAGAAACCACCAGTCACAACCAGTGCGAAGCAGATTTTGCCCGGCCACAGCACTTCCTACTTTAGGCTGGAGTCTAAGTCTACCCAACTACAAGGATCCAATGATGACTAGTCTACTCCACTACAATTGTACTAATGTCGCACTTACGATGTCTATCTACTCTACTACGACAATAGATTCAATAGACATTTTGATCCGTGCCCGTGCTCATTATCCAAAAGTTCCAAGACCCAGCTCCACCACGCCCTGAGCTCGCTATCCGCTTCGTTCTAACCACGCCTTGGAGGAGTTCCGCTTGGCGGGCTTGGTGTCCTCACGTGGCAAAGGGCCTATGAATATATGGGGGTTGTGTTTTCTGAGGATACCCTTCTTGGGGATTCCAAAAGGAAAGACCCCAGACAGCGAAAAATACACCTGCACCAGCACCCCACACTTCATGCCCCTAGCCCTACCGTCAATTTCGCAAAACGCGCCTGTGTCGTCACCAGCATCCAACAAAACCCCGAACAGCACCCCAAACAGCACCCCCCAAGCACCCGGCCGCCAATCCCGCAAAGATGAGTCCGCAGCGTCACCAACAAAAAGCAGCACCCCAAAGCACACCCGCACCAGCACCCCAAACTGTATGCCCCCTAGCACCCTGCCCATCAATCTCGCAAAAATGCACCCGCATCGTCACGCACCTGCACCAGCACCCCCAACTGCATGCCCCCTAGCACCCGGCCGTCAATCTCGCAAAAATGCACCCGCGCCGTCGCCAGCACCCCAAAGCAACACATGCACCAGCACAAACAAAAATACACCAGCATAGACCCCAGATAGCGAAAAAAGAAAAGCTAACACCTCCAACAGCACCTCGCGAAACCGCCCCAAACAGCACTCGACCGTCAATCTCGCAAAAATGCGCCGGCGCCGTCACTAGCACCTCCAACAGCACCCCAAACAGCATCCCAAAACAGCACCTGCGCCAGCACAGCAAGCTGTATGCGCCCTTGCACCCTGCCGTCAATCTCGAAACATGTGCCCGCACCGTCCCAACATGAGCTTGGGTCACTTCTTGGAAATGCATCCTAACGCAAAAGCAACACACGTGGCATTGCCAAACAACACTGTTTTGAACTGGTTTTGCCAAGACAATTGCCTTGCCCTAGTAAAGCTAGTCAAGTCTAAGTCACTTTATACCAAATCACTTTAAATGCAAGATTGGCTGTAGGGTACTAGTTGGCATACAGTTTGGGGTGCTGGTGCAGGTGCCGTTTTGGGGTACTTTTTGGGGCGCTGTTTGAGGTGCTGGTGACGGTGCGGGCGCATAATTGCGAGATTGACGGCCGGGTGCTTGCGGGCACGCAGGTGACGGTGCGGGCACACTTTTGCAAGATTGACGGTGGGGTGCTAGGGAGCATGCAGTTTGGGGTGCTGGTGCAGGTGGCGTTTTGGGATGCTGTTTGGGGTGCTGTTTGAGGCGCTGGTGACGCACGGGGGGGGGTATCCTTGGCTGGCTTTTTTGGAACGTGTTTGCTCTTCGCACAATATGTTCCATAACAGATTCATTCACCATGAACATGAATCCGAAAATTGTGATGTCTGCATACAGGCAAGCTGATAATGGCGCCAACGGTTGGAATTAACGAGGCTGTTTAGGGGTGGGGTTTGCAGGTCCAGCTGGGTTGGAAGTGTTGGGCTGGGCCCCCAGTCTAGGGCTGGGGAGGGCGTTCAGCGGCATTCAGGGAACAGACCTAGTTTATATTAGGTTTGGGGCATTGCTCCGCTTTATTCAGGGGCGATTTACTAATCATGTGGATATAAGTCTTGCGCTCGCCAATTATGATACAAACGATCCTTCAAGACGTGTCATGAAGTTCGGAGATAGCAAGATATGGATAACATGAAACACAACTTGCTCGTAATATAGAAAGGCCTTGAAGCCCTAGACAACAGTAATTAGGTATACATAGATGTAGATGTTGCTCATGATAGACGCAATGTAGACGTGGGATTCTGTCTCAAGGGTTTCTGCTGAAAGGATGCCCTTCTCCAACACTTATATGCTAGCGTTGGCTTCACTAAAAACTTAACTATATCTCTTTTCCCGGGAAATCCTCTCTTTCATACTAACATGAAAGTGGCCGTGCCAGCCCAAAATCTGGACAAACCTCCCGGACAACAATACTGGTTGAACATACTTCCGGGGTGCTCAAAATGAGAAGACGCCGGAGGTTTAACATGGAAGGGCGTAGGCCAAATGACCACACTCACACTTAGGAAAGAAGGACAAGTTCCTTGTGTATAGAAGGGTGCAAGCGCATGTGAAACATGCAAGGATAGATTTCACGGACGAAAAATGTGCTGATGAGACAAAATGGGTTCGATAATCACTCATATTCAATTGGCGGTCCTGTGATCGGAAACCGCATCCAGGTATGACATAACTTGACCTAGCGTGATGCTATGACAAACAAGGTTAGCTTCCATACAGGGGAGCACATAATGAGCACCTTGTAGGATAGCGAACAGTTTGGCATGAACTGAATCCAATGTTGAAACATGCTGAAAGACAAGCGTTTCCAAACATGGAATGAATGAGCAACCTGTTGATGTTACGATACGCAACATGGTCAGCACACATGAAATGACACAAACAATGTCACTATAAACACAACCAATAATCTACAGATGCAACAAATCAGTCTAGTGTTGATAGTGTGATAGAATGCTGCTACCAAATATGGATAAATTGAACTAACTCTATGTTGTTGCATATGAAGCAAAAAAATGGAAAATACGATGTCTAGCCCTGGCGCCAACAAACCTATTTGGTGGGAAATCAAGTTTGAACAAGCAAGTGCTCAAAGCATGATGTGGTATCTTGTGACGTGATCATGAAGAAGCGGTGTGGCGTTATTGCCAAAAAGTCCGACTTGAGATTCACTGACAGGTTGCCAGAGAGATGAACCAATTACAAACAGAGCAACATGTCAAGCCACTGCCAAATGAAGCACCACTGGAAGGCCTTTCCAAAGACCCATTCCCTTCTGGTATGAAGAGAGAACCATCTTTCCATTGCCACAATCCTGAACTTGGGTGACCCTGAATTGGCTCTAACAAATGCGTTCCCTTCGGATGCAACACACACACACACACACGTGCCCTTTGCAAACTGCTCGCAACTCGATGACCAGAATCCGTCTAATCACGGCCCGAACCAAACTCTGCAAGCCTTCGTAGAGGATCTGTGGTGATGCATGGCGCCACAGCTTAGCACATCACCCTCTCGGCTTGTGGCATTATTATTTCTTGGCTTCACGCGCACATGTGGATTATTGTGTCCAATCACTGCGGCCTCGGCGACAAGCAAAATGTGTATGAGCAAGTTTGCAGGAACACAGGCAACCATATAGTTTTGTGTATGAATATGTAACAGTATGTATGCATAATATAGATATGCGTCTACATATGCGTGCGTTGTCTTGGAACTGGATATTTGGTTTCTCAACTCAATGGTCTGATGTTCGAGCCAGAAGCACACGTTGATTCGTGAGCGACGTTCTGCTGACAAGTCACATGCTCTGAATGGCTTGGTCAATCCAGAGTGTCTCGCCATTATCAAAAACTGGGGGGGGGGGGTCGATGAACTATGCTCAATTCTTTTGTGGGCCAGGGTCATGGTTCCAATAATAGGACTCCTTATTACAGTTCTTTAAAATCCGTCGGGCCCTAAACGGTTGATGACCATCCTTACCATCCCCACGTATCTATGGCGCATTTCATGGTTGTCGAACAACTCCCCAGAACTAAGGTCCATGTTGTGGTGAAAATGACTTTCTACTTCATTCCCCGTTGAAACCGATCTGAAATTCTAAAAAGGACCCTCAAAAACACACAGTTCTTTGCAAACGACCATTGTTTGATGTCCACCAACTCATCTGTCTCCGTTTTAGTTCCTGAAAAAATGGAAGGTCATCCAGGCAGTGGGTTTGCCTTTTGGCTTCACCATGCAAAAGGTCCCCAATCTCAAGAATCACCCATGCAGATTTCCTTTTGAAGGCGGTCATAGTACATGGTTCTTGAGCACAACCAATTTCGCAATAGTGCGCAAAGGAAAATCAAGTTGCTTGTTCTCCTCAGCGCGAAAGGCGCGCTTTTTTCACCTCACCCAAAGACATCTTCGGTCTTGAGAGACTCGCGCCTGGCAGGATAAAGCTCTTGTTTTCTATGGGACGATGCACACATGGAAGAACGTAGTGATGCGGTGGCGACCACGATTATGCGATGATGAAATGTTGTTGATGATTCTGAAGCATGACCCCTCGGCTGAATGCGGAGGACCCTAATTAAAACTAAAACAATCCAAACTCAATGAATTGGGCGGGATCACCGGTTTATTGATCCAGCCAACAGGCCGCAACCCAGGACGGAGCAACACGAGGCGGCCATCACACATAGCCATTTGGCATGGTTCAACTGGAAGTAACAAGACGTGTGAGCAAACAACATAATGATGTACCTCCAGCACCCCCCCAACGACCGCTTAATTCCCCTGCCCAAAACCCCAAG